CTCTGTTCCCCCGCTCACGAAAACGCTTTAAAAAATTACTAACTGTTCTCCTATTCAAGCCTGTTATTTCTGATATTTTGTAACTGGAATGATCATGTTATATAAATTAATGATGATGTTTTTAACATCTTGTGTCAATTCCTTCCCTCGCTTACCCATATATTATGTAAACAATAAACCGGAAATCAATTAAGGACGCTTATTTTAAAACCTCTACCACTACAAAAACTTTATTTCCGGATGTTTAGTTTCGAGAAAAAACGAATGTAATATTGCTAAAAAGTTTTTTAATCTCAGAATTCTCAATGCGATTGAAGAACGTCGGCCATTTTGGGAACATACTTATGGCCAACTACTGTATGTACAAATATATATGTTACGCCGAAAACGTTTATTATTTATTCATTATTTGTAAATTGCTGGTTATTCATTTATTATTTAAATGATTACCAGTTTCAATAGTGTATATTTAAAAAAAAAAACACCCCCCCCCCCCGACTACGCATTTAGTTAACTAATAATCACAACAGTATGAATATTTTGATTTTAATTGTTATAAATAACCTTTAGAAAGCTTTATTTTTGTTCACTATTAAAATATAAACACGTGATAAAATACTTTCTTATTCTTTTTTTTCTTAGAAGGATATTACTCATTTAAGTTTTGATTCTTTAATTTGGAGTATGCAACACATTTGATTAAAAAAATAAACAAAACACGCTCAAAACTATTAAAGTTTTAATATGTTCATGACTCTTTTTTTGTACAATGCAGGTGCCCGTTCAGCGTGTTTCACTTGCGGAAACTTTCCGTAAATTTCGCAAAGTTTACGGAAGCTTCGTGAATACGCCGTAAACCATCCGCAATCTTTCCGTAAACTTTCCGCAATCCTTCCGTAAACGCTCCGCGACTGCGGAAATTACGGAGGCTTTGTGAATAAGGTCCCAGAGCAAACACGGACCCCCAAAACATCAGATGTGGGATCAGTACTATGTTCTGAATACAATCGATTCCTTATCTCTTTAGGAATTTCTGTAATTTAAATAAGGAGTAGAACATTTACAAAAAAATGAAATCACAAGGGGTGTGACTGATCACAGGTGATGTTTATTCCTCGTAGGTACCTGATCTCACTTTAAGTATCTCCAGTGTTCCATGTTTCTCTGTTCACGATTAGGTATATAATTGTTCGTTATATTATCTTATATCCTGAATATTTTTAAGCTTATATAACAAACAATTGGACTAAGTCTACACGCACTCTTGTTTACACTCAGGTCACAGACATTAAAAGCCAGAGTAATCGGTGCATGAAGTTTGTTAAAATCCAGCATTTTCTAGGGTAACCTTAAACGTCTTATTTATTATGAGACAAAATAAAACATTTTTATATAGAACTCGAAACCTCATGTTATGTAACTACATGTAGTTTAAGATACTTTAGACCTTGAATGCTGTTTCTTATCTTTACATGTTTAATCATTTTTCTACCATAGAGGAATAGTTTTAGGAGAAAAATTTAGACGGCAGATCTATAGTTGGTAAGTTTAGCAAATTTTCTCAATCGGACTTTTGAAACCACAAGACTTATCGATAAACTTTATAGTTCATGATTTTGGATATCAAAAGTTATTCCGAGAAATGACCCCCCCCCCTCCCCGCCGTGTGTGACCTATCACCTCTTATAAACTTATTATAAGGACCCTTCGGCATTAAAAGCTTGTTATCGCTACTCTTCCGAAAACGTAAACCATAGAGATAGAGAAACTTCACCAATGTTTTCGACTACTTGAGGGGACTTTTCAATCTTTTCATTGCGAAATGATTTCTCCAGCCTTTTTATAAGTTATCGCTCCTGGGTGTTTTCGGATGTTACAAATAACGAATTGGTCTTTCTAAACAAGAAGTCGTAAAGACACTGAACCAACTGCAATAAATTTGTTGACATTTAACCTAGAAATTTATTTGAAGATCACAGGTCAAGGTCATTTAAATAAATCTCTGCTAAATGTTTACAATTAATCACCATGAAACGATTATCGCATAAACTGTACTTATAACTTTACTCGTAAATCCATGGTTTACAGATAGCAGATTTTTCTTTTCAAATTAAATAGAAAACACAATGATAAATATTAAATTACAGTGTGTTTTGTCTGATTGAACTGCTTTACTGATAAGATAATTACACAAGGTTCTGTCGATAATTAAGCAAAATTACTCTTAAAAAGGGGTGTCTACTTATTTAAACATTTCACATTAAAAGAAAATAATTTTAATTGACGACGTTTGGACGTTACAATGTTGATTAGCAATTTCTGACGTTGTATCATTGTAATTGACAACTTTTATAGTAACTCGAGTATGAGAAACGACCAAGGTAACTGCCGATTAATATAGACTGGTTCAGTAAGTGCACAAAAGGGATTTCTTTTTTACAATGAGACTTACAAAAGAACAAGGAGAATGTCTTTACCCACTCTGAGATCTTGTAATCAAATGAATGGGGATGGAACTATATTTAAACTTTTTAATTATCCCTGTCTCTCTCTGAAAGTTGTTATGTTGAAGAAAACATCAGATAATGTTTTATGTGAGCGCATTGTTAAGGTCCTTTTTTGAAGATGTGTATTGCTCAGATTAAATCAAACATGTAATAAGCTTTAACGATTAATTTAACCAGATTCAAATGAAGAAGGGGAACATTTCTTTTTATATTAATTATTTTGTATTAAAATCTTTCGGATATGAAATATTGTACAAGTGTTGGTAACTGTATTATGACTAAGTTAAAATCTGTGCTAGAATTTAAAACCAACGGATTTCGCTGACAGCGAAGGAACACTTTAAAATGCTTGAGGAAATGTAAAAAAAAAAAATTACAAAAAGTTTGTGGACGAAACACAATAGACAACAGACCGACGCCAGACACCCTTCTATTTGTAAAGCTGAATGAGACTTCAGCTCAGGTGAGCTAAAAATTAAAGAACATTTTATATCATAGAGTGCATATTTGTATTGTAGAGATAGCACAACAGACTTAATTGTATTTCTTGCTGCAGCATCCAACAGATGTTTCAAACAGATTTTCTTTATTTAATAAAGAATTCAGTAAAATTACATAACATACCAGACAAATTAGATGCTCCTCTTATATTTTTTGTTTCTTTTGTAATTTAATTCGCTATGTAATATTCTTACACATGAATTTAAATTATTAAACGATATCCTTAGAGTTAGAGCGACATTTTTGCGTTTCATGTCAACTATTCTTAAGTTTTCTTTTACATAAGAAAATCCAAATTGTCCTTAAATGCCCCGAACTTAGATGATTTTAATGATAATATCAATAATATAATGAAATATTTTGTATAATAGTATAAGGGTTTGGGCTGTACCTGTCGCTTCTGATCATGAAGTATCTCCTCAGAATCATTAAATTTCGACCTTCAAACAACGCCTCCATCTTGCTCGTAAAGCTACCATGTTGTAGGAATATCCTAAGAGTCTCAAACTGTACGTAATCAGATACTTGTTTTTACGTTCTAAATTATATTTTGAACCTAAATACACTCACATTGAGAAATTAAAGTATTTTTAGCCACCTTAATTTTTACATTGTTTTGATTTTTCATATCACAGGGAGATCCCCCTGCCATTGTTGTATATATGTTACCTGGTGATCTCCCATCTTCTAAATGTACATTCAGCAATGATAATCATGTCTTGCTTAGATTTTAGGGAGATTCCGCTGCCATTGTGATATTAGGTGCTCAATAAGTCTATGTATGTTTGTCTGGGATCTCCCTAGTAGTTAAGGTAGTTTATTTGTAATTATTTGTTATTTTCGTCATTAATAAATGACAATATTCATCAAACAATGTCTTGTAGTGTTTTAAGGAAGTAAAAATTAACAAAGCTGCAGGACCTAATGGGAACTGGTTTTCACGCATTCTTTACAATACAGGCATTTGTCTAGCTTAAGATAAATGGAGGGCATAAAAGTATTTTTAATACACCCACTTCTCTAAGATCCTGCCATCGCTTTTGTAAGGGAATATCGGTGACAAGAGTTATAATAGAACTTGTATTTAGTTATGTTCAAAGCTGATTCAGACTGGATTACTTGGGATATGTGATCTACTTTGCTAGCTAACAATATGTATAAGCCAAATTAAAAGAAATGATTGATTACCCTCGCCTGGACAACTGACTACAAATGTTCCGACTCAAAACTTTTTCTAGATGACATCAGTTAATTTTTATTAATATGCATATTTAAAAGAATTACGGAAAATTAGATATCTTTAAAGATTTTTTTAAATGAAGTTAAGTAACGAAGGCTAAAATCCTGTCCCTGTACAGGTATAAGTACTTTATTGTGGAAAAAAACACGGGTTTGTTATTCGTTAGATAAAACGATAAATTTTATTTTTTGAAGACGATTTCAAGCGATATCAGCATAGGATTATTTTTTGTGTGACCTAACAAAAATTATTTTTTAACTTTTGAAATTTGATATCTTTTAAAAGAAAAAGACTAAGGGGATATAATTTGACAAAAGTTGAAACAATTTATGGAAAATTATTTTTTAAAAAGTGAAACGAATATATTTTTTCGCATTTAGAATTGGACTATGAGGCTTTAAAATACTTGAAATTCAAAATTTTATCTTTAATTAAGGTCATACGAAACATTCCTCAAATTTCTATTTTGCACATCTTCATATTGTATGGAAACAATTCTAAATTTTAGTCTCCATATGATTTATAAACTAATTTTTTCCGCGAGTAAACATGTTAAAGTAGCAATACTTCAATGACAAAATCAAGTTTCAACATATTATTTTTCTATATATGTTTAATCAATAAAAAATAGAAGGTACATTCATAACGTGATTCTGTATAAAGTTACATGTGTAAAGTTTACTTTTGAAGATGTTTTCACCTCAATTTCTTTTCAGGAAATTCTTTTCTCAGAGATCTAGACCCTCGACTTCATGGAATTGAAAAGATTTAGCACTCAGTATAAGAAACGGCAATGTTCTCAATGTCAGGGGGACACAGAATTCTACTGTAACACGTGTAAACATGACCTGTGTCTACAGTGTAAAGAGAGGCATGTTACCAACTCCCATAAAGTGGTGTTTTATAGAACAAAGCATAGCAAAAGAGGTTATACAATACAGTGTAAAGTACGACAGTGCTCTGAATGTAAGGGGAACACGGAATACTTCTGTAACACTTGTAAACAAGACCTGTGTCTACAGTGTAAAGAGAGACATGTCATTAATCCGAACATCGAACATCATGATCTTGTGTTGTACCGTGAAAAATACAAAAGCCTAACAAAGCAAGAAAGGTGTGAGAGACATCCAGACAAATTATATGATAGATACTGTCTTTCTTGTGAAGTCCCTGTCTGTGTTCAATGCACAGAATACAGAGATATCAGAATGTTACCTTTTTTATTCCTGTTGAATAAACACAGAACACACGAAATGCTGGACCTCAGACCAGCTTATGAAACAAACCGTCGAAAATACAGAGGAATCATCCGCAAAACGAGAAGTGACACTATCTACAATAGCTGTTTTCTTCTGTCAAAAATAAAAACTGATTTGAAATTTTGTCACACCTGTAGCTTTCAATCAGATATGTCCGTGAAAGCCCGTAGACTAAAGAATCTCATTGATAGTTATGTGAAAAGCAGGCTGAAAAGTTTAATGATTCAAACATCACAAATTTATGAACAACAAATTTGTAAATTGAACAGACACGTATCTAGAACAGAAAACTATGTATACAGATTTGAACAGTCAGTAAACAAACCTATAAAATTTCTCTCATTTCTTAAGAAAATCACGGTCCCAAAGATGAAAGAGAGTCCTTTTCTTACACAATATATTATAGTCCCTCTGATTGAGGAAATAAACAGGAAAGATGTGATTAAATCATTGTGTGAAATCCATATAAAAACAGCAAAAAGAAAAAAAGGGATTGATTCTGTGTTGAAGCTGATGTTTACACCAGTATTGCATACATTTATGATAGTGACAAGTGTTGATGATATAAGACACATTTCCCGTGAATCGCCAGACCGATTCTGGATCAGTGATAAGAAAAATATCGTCCTTACAAACACAGAAGGTGATGAACTGTATCGCCTATTGGATAAAGGTAGTTTTTATGGAGGGCACACAGTGGACATTACACGTCGTCTTATTTATGTAAACATTGATTTTAACATAATCAAACTATCAAAAGAAACAACGGCTATACTAATTCAAAAAATAGAAAATTGGATACCACTGTGTGTCTTCTGCTCCCATTCCAATGGAGACCTTCTGGTTGGTATGCGGGGTTTTCAACAAACCGGTAAGGTATGTCGTTATAGTTACGACGGAAAACTCATACAGACCATACAACACGACAAAAAAGGTCAGGCAATGTCTGGAGATCCTAACTACATCACAGAGAACCGCAATGGAGATGTTGTTGTGTCTGTCTGGCCCTATGCTTTAGTGGTGACAAATCGTGAAGGGAGATATCGCTTCTCCTACAGAGGACACCCTTCATCGTCAGGAATATCACCACAAGGAATTTGTACAGGCGCAATGTCAAACATTCTTGTGTGTGATGCTCTTACCGACGCAGTACATATAATTGATCAAAATGGCCACTTTTTGTCGTTGATACAGACTCAGCAGTTAGGAATAAACTCACCATGGAGCCTGAGTTATGACGATAAAACTCATCTTCTCTGGGTAGGATCATGGACAAACGACATAGTTTGTGTCTACAGGTACATAGAAAGACGGGGCTACTTGCCAGGTTACAGTACCGACCGGACACAACCTGACAGAGAGCGAACCCGGAACGGACCCCGGGTTCGCTCTCTCGGGTCCGCTCCGGGTTAGCTCGGGGTCCGCTAGGGCTGACC